TCATGAAATTTTAATTGAATGGGGAAAAATCTAAGTGCTTTCATAAAAGAACACACCTTATACATAAGAAGCAATCATTCTGACTTAAGATGAACCTTCCTGATCGTGAGTAATACAGCCTTAAGAACCTCAAGCAGCCGCAGCGTTCACAGTTATTCAATGTTTCATTTCAGTTGGTCAGTGTTTGTGGCGTGGTAGAACAGAGGGGCGGAGGGCAGGTGAGCGAGGATGCGTTAAAGGTCCCTGTGGCCCCGTGAGGGGTCCCACGCTGCCTGGCAGCTAACTCTTCTCTTTTGCGTCCTGGCATGACTCAGGTCTTTCCAGGTTCTCCCCCTCTTGCTGCCCATAAGCTAGGGGCTTGTATGGTGTGAGCTGGTAAAGAGGGACCTGGCTCTGAGCCGTACCTCTAACTCATAGGCGTCCTTGCCCTGCGTGAGAGGTGAACCAGCAGCCTCGCCACCGGCGTCCCCGGTCAGCAGCGTCCGTAGCCGTGAGATTTCAGCAGCCAGGCGGTTGTTCAGCTCCTGGGGGACAGCAACACAACCAAACAGGGTGCTCTACAGAGCTGTTTGGCCACGAACACAGGGCGCGGCCAGGGTAGCATGCAGCACGGGAGGCCTGCAGCGGTGCCTGTGCACGGTGGCATCTCAGAGTCAGTGTGGACACCCTTGCCAAAGCCATTTACACGGCCCAATGCTTTTGTGGAACTGCAGCTGCAGGATCCATGCTCAGCCTCTTTCTGTCACCGTGACTAGTGTTAATCAGTTCCAGGATTTGTGCTCCTGAGTTTCTGCAGGATCAGGACCTCCGGCCACCCTCACCACTCGCTTTCTGTACCTTCTTTCCAGCTAGCAGGTGGTCGTCTTAGGCCACCGCAGTGGCCAAGCAGAACCAGTCCTGCTGGAGTGTCCCCCACATATGGGCAGCTGTGGGCCCACAGAGGCCTTGAGCCTGGGCCAGGCTGACGTGGCTGTCTCCTCAGTGCGGGGGGAGAACGAGGGGTCTTGTACCCACAGAGAAGCTTTTTTGAAACTAGACCTACCTTGAGCTGTTCCGTTAGCCAGGATTTTAAATGTACCCCAGTTTTCTAAGGAGCAGGCACATTTTTTTTTTTTTTTTTGCGGTACGCGGGCCTCTCACCGCTGCGGCCTCTCCCGTTGCGGAGCACAGGCTCCGGACGCGCAGGCTCAGCGGCCATGGCTCACGGGCCCAGCCGCTCCGCGGCATGTGGGATCTTCCCGGACCGGGGCACGAACCCGCGCCCCCTGCATCGGCAGGCGGACTCTCAACCACTGCGCCACCGGGGAGGCCCAGGAGCAGGCACATTTTAAGAGAATAATCTGACAGAATCAAATGCGAGCAGTGTATGGTCTTGACTGGGAGGTGTTTAAACGCGGTCCCAGCCGTGGGGACGGGAGACCTGGACCCGTGCCGCCCAGCAACCACGGAGGAGGAACAGACATCTCGGAGCCTCCAGACCCCAAGGCCAGCGGCCAGCTGCAGAGCAGGAGGGGCTCAACCCCAGCAGCTGCAGGGAGCTCCTGTCCACACCCCGGTGACGCCAGACGTCGGGAGATGCCTGCAGATTGGGGCCCCAGTGCGGCGCACCTGGTTGTGGGCGTTGAGCTCCTGGTTCTCGCGCTGGCACTGCCGCAGGGCCTGCCGCTCGGCCTCCAGCGCCTGGGCCAGGTGGGCGTTCTCCAGGCACTTCTGCGAGTACTGCTCAGAGAGGACCTCCAGCTCGCGCTGCACGGACTGCAGCTCCTCCCTGGGGAGAGGGCACTGCTCACTCCTCTGCCCTCGCCCCGGGGCCCAGGCCTCTAAGAAGCTCAGAGTCCCCTCCGCGAAGCCTCAAGGACGCCGAGACCCACACAGCAGAGCGACCGCGAGCAGAGCCCTGCACCTTGTGGTCTCGAGTGGCCATGCAGCTTGGCGGCTCCGTCCCTGTGCTCTTGCCAGTAGTCGAACAGCCCCCACGGGCGGCACTCCTCTCCCAGGGTCAGGAGAGGCCTCACCCACGCACCCCAAAACACGCTGTGTCAGAGAGAGGTCAGACCTGGGACCGTTTCTAGCACTGTGCCAACTCGATCCACGTTCAGAAAACCAAAGCCTCGTGACGTCGCTCTCGGCCACCCTGGACTTGAGAAGGGCTGGTACTGTGGAACCGACACCCCCTCCAGCCGAGGTGAGCTGCTCCCGGCCGCCTGCCCACCCACCTGCTCCCTGACTGCACTGCACGGGAACCCGGGAGAGGAGAGACGCTGACTCTGTGCGTTGCGGAGCCCCACGAAGGCTGGCTCTGCACGGCCCCTGCAGCAGCCAGTCGAGGCGCTCCGAGTGGTGCGAGTTCCACTGAGGGCAAAACTAAACAGTGGCCGTGCTGGTGAACGCTCCCCATTCCCTTGCCTCTGCAAAGAGAACTGGCACACGCACTTCTTAAAAATGTAGGGGTCGTGGCCACTTCTGCCACGCACAGCCGCAGAGCATCTGTGTCATGCGCTGCACCGCGTCCCCTCCCCACGACGTCCTGAAGCAGCAGCAGCTGACGGACAGAAGGAATCTGGGGTCGCCTCTGAGGTCGGCCCTGAAGATCCGACAGTATTGATAAAATCTCCTCTGCCACGTCTTATTCTTTACATTTTAGTCGCTGGTTTCTGTTTGACTCAGTAACAGGAGCCCACTTGGGCCATGAGAGCAGTGGTTCGCTGATCCCCAGGATGGTGCTCGGCCCCTCAGGAAGGAGGCTCTGAGCAGCCTCAGCGCCCACGGGCCTCCACCTGCGCCACCCTGGGGACCCGAGTCTCTGTGGCTCTTACAGGGAAGGTGCCGCCCCGTCCCCGAAGGACCTCCCTCCGGCCCTGCCCGCAAGGGCCACCTCCGCTGACTCACAGGTACTGCCGCTGCAGGGCATCGATGTCCGCATTGACACTGCTGATCTGGGACCGCTGGCTCTTCTCCAGCTCCCGTTCCATCTCCTCGCGGTGGGCATTCTTCATGGCTTCGATGGCTGTGGACAGGATGTGGCCCTCAGCACCCACGGGCTTGGGAGGTGAGACCGACAGGAAGGCGGGACATCCCCCCACCTCTCATGCCAGCCCATTGGCAGTTGGGCCGGGAGGATTCCCGGGGAACTCCCCCATGAAAGGGATGCAGGTGTGTTTTTTTTCTTGATGTTAACAGAAAACCAAACTGATTCAATAAACGTCAATGTTAAGTCCAAGTATGAGTTTGTAGGACAACAGGCTTTCAGGCTGGGCCTGTTTTCTTAGTGCCACAATCACAAGCACCGCAGAATAGTTACATGAACAGAGGGGACACAGGCCAAAGGCCCAGGGCTCAGTCCGGACGCTCTGGGCTCTCACGGACCAAGGGCCGCGGGCAGAGGTGTCCGCTGCCAGAGAAGTGCCAGCAGGTGGGCCGATGAGGCCAGGGCAGCCCCTCATGAGCACCAAGTGTGCCGGCGGCCACAGAAAGCGGGAGTGCTGGCGCGGGGCTCTCGAGCTCTCAAAGGGCTCCTCAAACAAGCCTTTCCCCCAAGAGAACTATCCAAGAATTCTCGTGGGTAAGGAGGCTTCAATCTCAGCCGAAAGACGGTGAGAAGGCCAGTCACTGCTCAGAGCTGTGCGATCAGCTCAGGAGGACCCTGCTGCCCGTCCCCGGGGTTAGCGGCTCCCACCTGAGATGGTGGCCGCGGTCTCCTCAGCCAGGAGGCGGTCTTTCTCCTCCCGCAGTTTCTCCAGTTCCCGCTGGTGCTGCCTCTGCAGGTCTTCGATCTTCTTCTGGTGTGTTTCTTCCATGGCTGCAAACCCTCGCTCGCACGTGGCCTGCAAGGTGCACAAGAGGCTTTACGGACTTTTCTTCTGCTATTTACTGAACAGACCTCAGCCCTGCCCTCCAGGCTCCTGGCACAGAGAAGGGGCTCTCTTGAGCCGAGCCCCGCGCCAGCTGTCTGGAGACTCACTCTGCTCCTGCGTGTTTCATGCTCCCAGAGCATTTAGAAAAGGGTGCCTGATTTCTGTGGTTGTTGTGCATCCCATTTCTCTGTAGAAAGAGCTGGTATCGTGGGCAGGAAAAGGCCGCAGTAGAATTTAAAATAGCCAATCTTGGACCATTATGGACCGACAGGAGGGGGAAGGACAGAGTGAACGGGCAGAGGCTGGCCGCGTCTGGTCTGAGTTTCATGGGCATCAAGGACAGTCATGAACAGTAATGTCTTTGTCAGCCGCAGGGAGCCAAGGCCATCCTGTGAGTGACGGGTAGCGGGTAGCCCAGTGCACGGAGCCAGGGGGCCCAGCCCTGCCACTGCCCAACTGGCCGCCCACACCGGGTCACTGAACCTCTCAGGCGTCCACTGAGGAAATTAGGCTAGGGTGTACGACTTTTCCTTTTCCTTTGGAAGGAGTACAAAGAGGGGGCACTAATTAACGAGTGCCTCTGCTAACTGTACCGAGACCCACGACGGAAGAGCTGCTCTCCAAACCTGTCTGTGCCTCGCTGCAGCCTGGCTTGGTGTTTGACCTAGACACGGGTGTGGGGAAGGACACAGGCATGACCTAATAAGAAGGGCTCAGACCCCCCCCCCCCCCCCCCGTGTAGTAACCCAGGCCTGGCTTATCGTTGGCCTCGCTGGCGGGGTGGGTATGAGGGGCGGTCTGTGCAGCCGTTCTGTGCGTGGAGGCACATTTCTTGTCTAAATCCCTTGCAAGATCTGTTTCAAAGTAGGGATCCTTAAAAACTGGACGAATGTGGGCACGTTAATTCCAAATCCAAGTATCCTGTACTTGCACATGGATCAAGGAAGGGTACCAAGAAATCCAGCCTCCGTGTGTGGGCACCTCTGTCTCAGCCCCCACGGTGACTGAGAGGCCCTTCTGAGACTCTCCAGTCAGTATTTTTCAAACTCACGGTCAGAGTCTGGACTTCCCTGCGACAGATCTGCTTCACTGGGGAAGTGGTCTTAAGTGCTGTGCACCACTCACTGGGCGTTTTTCTTCTTGCAGGGGCTCCACCTGGAAGCTGCTGTCTCCTCTCACTGCCCTCACACCCCGGGACACTGGAGGGTCCTAGCGCTGCCCTCTCGCACGCTGTGGTTCAACGTGGACTCTTGGTTAACACATAGCTGCAAGGTCTTAGTTTGATTTGAGGGCTTTAGAATAAAGATAAGGGTCAAAATTCTTCCTACAGAAACACTAAGGTGTCTTTAGAGACTAGCTGCTTCCTTGGAGAGTATATGTGTTTAAGAAACAATCTAATTTTTAAGCCAGTAAGTAATCCCTGGGAGGGATCAATCAAAGTTCCTCCGTAACCACGGTGCAGAGTCGTGAGAAAGAGCACCAGCCTTCAGCTATCAGAAGAGGGGCCCTCAGGCCAAGACCCCAGTCTCCCTGACCTGGGCAAAAATCTGCACAAGTAACAGCTGTCAGCCGGGCCCCAAGAGAGCGGTTTGGTTGTAATTTCTGCGTGTCTCACAGGGCCCAACAAGAATAGGCACAGGACAGAGGACGCCGCCCACAGCAGGCAGCGTCCAAGCCCCAGCCTGCATCACCGCCGGGGCAGAGCCTGCCCCCAGTGTCAGCCCAGGGCTTTCCTCCCTCCCGGGTTCGTGCCGATGGGCGTGAGAGCCAGTCTGGGCCTTGTCTGAGTTTCCTGCTGCGCAGACGCGCTGGGTGTTGTGGGAAGCGGCCGGGAAGTTACTTTCAACGCGGCACTGGTATGCGCCGGCCGCACGGGGACTGTGTGGCACTTTCCAACAGCCCTTGAAGCTTCCTTGGGATCCAGAATGGCCTTCAAAAGGTTTGGACTGACTTGGGAACAGAGCAGTGGAAACGGCCTGGCAGACACTAACGGCCCGCCTGCTTGTCGCAGCAGCGCCGGGCTGCCCTCAGCACTGGACGCACTGCCGGCTCACAGCTGGAGGACGGGGCTGGGGACCGAGGGCACGGGAAGAGCCTGGCGTCTACTGGATGCAGCTCAAGGGATGGCGAGAAGCCCAAGAGGACGAAGCCCAGAGCCCAGGCTGCCCTGATGGCTCCACACAGCCCAACGCCCCAGGGCCCGAAACGTCACCTTGATGGGCCAGGGCCTGGGAATCCTGTCTACCAAGGTGGGTGTGAAACGGGGTTGGGGTGTGGTGTGGTGGGAAGGTCACTTCTCAAAACCCCTGGAGCAAATAAGGCTGTGCTCCCTGTAAGAGCAGCCGTTCCCACGCAAGGTTCCCACCAGACGTCTGTCCCCGCAGAACTGGGGCGGGGAGTGGCCCTCAACACCCCACTGCAAACATTCTAGCCTTTGGGAAGCCCAACTCTGCTCTCCTAGGACAGCAGAAAGGAGAGGACCCTCGCCAGGTCCAGGTCTGCACAGCCTGGAGGTGGGGGCAGTGGGGGAGCTTCCCCACCACCCTGCCTTGCCAGGCCCCGCTGGGACCCCACCGCAGCCAGTGGAAGGTCAGGCGGGGAACAGCCCATCAGCTCCTTCTGCCGTTCGGTGACTTGGAGCCAAGAACCGTGTCCCAGCTCCGCCTGCACTGGACGCCCCCCGACCGCTCTGCTTCGAAACCTTGAGGCTCTCAAAGTCCCTCTGGCGCTCTTCCCGCAGTGAGGCCGCGCCACCCGCCAGGTCCTTGTGCTCCAGCGCTTCCCGCAAGACGTCCACCTGGGCCTCCAACTCCTGGATGCGCCCCTTCAGCCCCACCATGGAGTCGGCCTCCCCCTCAGCTGGCCGGCTGGAGGACGGGGGTCCGTGGGCTGGTGGGGCGGCAGGGGGCCGCCCCTGGTAGTGGCGCAGGGTCTCCTGCAGGCACCGCAGCTCCTCCTCATGGACGGCCTGCAGCTCCCTGATCTTGAGCTGGAACTTGTCCTCCAGGGTCTGCACCTGGTCCACAGGCTGCCTCTCCAGGTCCTGCCTGTCCCCCGCCAAGGCATCCAGCTGGCTCAGGACCCTGCCGCGCGCAGCCTGCGGCGCACCCTCCGCCCGGCTCAGCCGCTCCCCTGTGTAGCTGACCTTCCACTCCTCAAACCACCCTCGTGGGGCAGCCAGGCTCTCACGGCGCTCACTCTGCCCCTCTTCCAGACGCCTCTGCTGCTGGCCCAGCTGGGCGACCTTGGTCTTGAGCTCCGCGTTCTCCCGTTCAACGATGGCGATCAGCTCCAGGTACTCGCTCTTCTGCTTGCGGAGAAGCCCCTCGTACTCCTCCCTCAGGGCCCCCACAGCGTGCTCGTGCTCCTGACAGGAGGCCCCCCTGCCCGACCAGGACTCCCTGTAGCCCCGGAGCTCCTTTTCATACTCCAGCCGGATCCTGCAGGCTGTGTAACACACCTGAGCCTGAATAATCGCATCTTGAACTAATAAGGAAGAATACTGGCCGAGGCCTCCCAGACAAGCGCTACGGGAGAGATGCCGGGATGCCTGGAGAAGCTTCTGACAGTCTCGCACTGCCTCCACAGGGAGAAGTGAGGTTAAAGTGGCAGAGATCTCTCCCAAGAGACTGGCCTTATCTTTAAGCTGCAGGGCGAGCTCTTCTTGAATAGCAACCAAGGCCCCAGAGCTCTGGCTGGACAAGGGACAGAGAGCCTGTGAGCCAGCTGGGTCCTGATGACTTGGTACTTCTTCCGGCAGGCTCCCAGTCCAGGACACCTGGACACCATCTCCGGCACCTGCTGGAAGCTGGAGGGTTTCCGAGACCTGCAGCATCACTCTCTCGAAGTCGGGTGTCTGGTAGGCCCCTAGGATCTCCCCCAGCAGGCGCTTGTGCTGCTGCAGGGCTGCCTGTGTCCCCTGGAGGGTCTCCTGGATGCTCTGCAGCCTGCGGTGGAGGGACCCCCTCACCGAATGCACGGCAAGGCTGAGCTCCGCCCTGACCCACGTGGCATCGGCCAGGGCAGGGACCGGGGCTGGTGGGGTGTTTGGCCGCCCACCTCCCGAGGCACTGGCTGCCTCTCCGCCCAGCATCTCCAGGTGCCGGCTCAGGGACTCGACCTGGCTCCAGAATTCTCCATCCACCAGCACCTTCTTGGCCCAGGCATCCACTGGGGCCCCAGGACAGGCCACGGTACTTTCGGACTCCAGCGGCCACTTTCCGGACTGAGAGATCTCGAGGAGCACGTGCGAGATATCGGAGGTGGTGTTTTTCAGTGAGTCTGCTATCTGGTCTATCAGCATAGCTTCCAGAGCTATCTGATCAGAAAGGAGCTGGAGCTGCTCCTGGTCGCTCAGCTCCGGCAGGTGTGGTGGCTGCCGTGAGGTCACTTTTTCTTCCTCTGAGAAACCCGCCTCCCCTGTGGGAGGTGGCTGGTGACACAGGGCCTGGATGGCGCCGACCAGCAAGCTTTCCACGCCGGCCAGGAGCCCCGCCCCCGCGTCAGCCGGCAGCGACCGCAGCTGCTCCCGGCAGCTTTCCAGGCAAGCCAGGGCCTGGCTGTTCTTCACCCGGAAGTCACCGAGCTCCTCCACGTGGTTCTCAACCACCTCCGCCCTCGCCTGTCTCTCCTGCTCCAGCTGGGAGGCCAGCGCAGCGACCTGGAGCAGGCTGGCACGGAGCTGCTCGCGCAGCCGCGCTTCGGTGCCAGCCCACTGTTGGTGCAGAGCAAGCAGGGCCTCCTGGCTCTGGCCCTGCTGGCTCTCCAGCTTCACTGTCACATCTTTGAGCTTCTCCTCGGTGACGTAGAGCTTGGTCTCCAGGGAGTGGATGATGGACAGGTAGGTGTCCGAGTCGCTGGTCGCTGGGAGCGAGCTGGGGGTGGCCTCCGACGACATGCTTTCCTCCGAGGGTGAGCGGTCCTGACTGGTGTCAGAGGACGTGCTGCTGGTCCAGGTCCTCTCAGACCCGTCAGGGTGGGTGTACTTTTGGCACTGGATCGTGGAGAACCGGATTCTTTGCCTCTTAAGGCCGGGTGCTCCCTGGTCGGGCTTTGAGGTGCTCTGCAGGTGCCCCTCCCTGTCGGACACTTCCGACCTTGGGGGCACTGGGCTCTTTTCTCTCCTGGGGCTGCTGTCCCTGTGCTCCTCCCCCAGGGCAGCCCCCGGAGGTGCGCTGGCAGCCCGGAGCTGTGGGCCCGAACGCGCGACGCCGTCCTCCTCCTCAGCTTCTTCCAAGAAGCTCCGTGGCTCCTCGGCGTCCTCTGAGGACTCCTTGGCAAACTGCCTTGCGATCTCTTCCTTTGCCTGGAGATTCACTTCTGTTTCCTCTAAGCTGCTCCCCAAGGCAGTCATCTTAACCAGCACATCCTGGAGATCCCGCTCTTTCCTCGCCAGCGCCTTCTCGTGCGTGTCCTGGATGCACCTCAGCTCCTCCTCCTTCTCCTGGAGCCGCGTGTGCGCGCCCTGGAGCTGGCTGGCCACCCTCCTGTAGGAGCGCTCCAGGCTTTGGTAGTCAGCCTCCCTCCCCTTCAGCTTCTCCTCAAGCGCAGCCACGTCCCCGTCGGACAAGGCGACGCGGCCCATCAGCTCTTGGAAGCGCTGCCGGATCAGGTCGCGCTCGTCTCGGAGGCTCTGGACGTGCTCGGCCAGCTTCTGGATGCTGGCCTCCTTCATCTCCAGCTGCTCCTCCAGCCGGTGCACCACCTCGCTGCCCTCGGACTTGGCACTCAGCTTCTCCTTCTGCAGGACCTCCATCTGCTGCTCGTGGTCCTGGAGCCGGTCCTCGAAGGCGCTGGCCCTGTCCTCCGCCTCCTTCAGGCTCTGCAGAAGCTCCTGCTTCTCCCGCTCACAGCTCCCCAGCAGCAGCTCGTAGTTCCTCTGCAGCTTCTCCTCCATCAGCCTCTGGGCCCGCTCGCTGGCGCTGAGCTGCTGGCTGAGGTCGGCGATGCGCTCCTGCAGCCTCTGCACCTCCTTCTGCCGGTCCCGCTGCAGCGCCTGTTGCCTCTCCAGGTCCCGCAGTTCCTGCGTCCTCCCCAGCAGCAGGGCCTCCGCGCTCTGGAGCTTCCGCTCGCTGGCGCGCAGCTGGGCGTTGAGCGCGGCTTCGCTGTGCTGCCGCTCCTCCAGCTGCTCGCGGACCTTGTCCTTCTCCAGCTTCAGCTCGCCCTGGAGCTTGGCCAGTGCCTGCTCTTTGATGGTGAGCTCGGCGGCGGCATTGCCAAGCCGCGCCTGGAGGCTCCGGATCTCGGCCTCGTGGTGCCGGATCGCGTCCTTGGCCTCCCCGTAGCTGCGCTTCAGGGCCTGGATCTGCCGCGTGATGAGCTCCTGGCGCTGGCACTGGGCCTCCAGCTCGCCGTGCAGATCCTGGTTGACTCTGTGGAGCCTCTGCCAGGCGCCGGACGGGGAGGTGGCCACTTCAGTCTTAAAAAAACCGATGAAATACGGGTTAGTAACACTCGGCCTCCCAGTTCTGAGTGTCACACCTCTGGCCAGGGTCAACCACAGAAAGGCTCCTTGGTGGGTCTGCCTTTTATCCTCTGCACAATTTTATTTTCATTTAAACAAAAGAAAAACAACTAACAAATCGTCTCAGTTTTTTTTTTTTTTTGGTAAGTAGCTGCTTCCAGGTAAACAGAAAACATGGACATTAACATTCAAAACAGCTCTAACCGAACAGCTTCTAGGAGAAATAAACCAAACAAAACTGAATAATGGAGCACACTGATAAGCAAAACGAAGACTGAGGGACGAGAGACTCCAGCAAGAGGGACGGGCGGGCGGGAGCAGAGCAAAGCATCCGTTTGTTTGTTTTGCAAAACAAAAGGCACACAGCTCCAGACCACAAACCCCACCAAAGCGCAGGACCGGTGACGACGCCACTTCCTTCTGGGACAGGGGAGAAGGAAGGGAGGCACCGCTGGCGGATGTCAGCAAGGTGACATCCGAAACATTTTCCTGTGAGAGGTGGAGCCCGTCCTCTACAGTAACAGGAAGAACTAATCTCTACCTGCAAGAAGACAAAACGAAGGGGAAAACGCAAACCATGGAGTGAAATATGAGAGTTAACAAAACAAACAAACCTTTGTGGCATATTCAAAATAAAGTGAAGCATGCAGAAAGTAAAACACAGTTGAAACAAAACTCCCCAAACTAAAAGGCATGCAGAACAGACAGAACTAATTAGCGCAGGAAAAAAGAAGAGCGTGAAAGGAGTGAGCACAGCTCAGCCTAAGAACTGGCCTGCCTGTGGCTCCCTCCAGGCGTGCTGGCGGGGCAGCCACAGATGTGACACTCAGTTACGGTAAGTTAGCCACTCCACGTCCACACCCTGCCAGCTCCTCCCGGCCGTCGGCGCGGAGCCCACCCCCAGCTGCAGATCCTTCTCACCCTTAACCCCAAAGCCCCTTGCTCATTCAGACTTCTGATTATAAGAATTGTCAAAGCACGTAGGGAGGTTAAAAGTAAACTGTCCTTTGCCCTGGCGGGGAGGTGTTAGCGTGTCAGCTGACGGATGGGCTTCAGTGCGGGCTCATGCAATCGTCCAGGTCAGACACAGGACAGGGTAGTAATGTTCAAACTCTGCCGCCAGGGTTTTTACCACCTGGTGTGAAATGAGTGCGTGTAGGATGGCAGCCCAAACCAGGGTTTAAAAAGATGCTTCCCAAGCCTGCGGGGTCTGCACAAAAATGACTCAGAAAGCCCCGGAGTGAGACATGCAGGGAAGAGGGGTG